TCTTTGTGAGCAGTTTAGTAATTTATTTTTGCAAATTTTAACAATATTTTCACTGCAGAGGAAACAGAAGCTGCATCTGAAGTGGCATTAGATGTATTGAGATGTATGAGGTGCCATAAATGGGAAGATTTTCATAACACCGCCCAAATGTTCACGCAAAGAAAGAAGAACAATATTGTTGCTGCCACCGCTGCCGCCATGTTGTTAAGACGCTGTGTGTTTCGTTGCGAAAGCGAAAATACTTTGTTTGGCCTTCCAAAAGAGGACACGACTAGAAATCAGTGGTTTAGTTGTATTTACAACACTGTTCCAGAACAGTTCAACCCAAATATTCAGATGTGTGCAGCGCATTTTATGGAGGACTGTTTCCTGATCCTGGGATAGTAGACTACAATGTCGGCTGTTCTGACTCACAGACTGTAAGTACGTTTTCATATTTAAAGGATTTGCCACTGATGATTCAAACGAGAGTTTTGAGCAGTGTAGAGTAGAGCTTGTTGTTTGTCATTTCTCCGATCACAAATGCAGACATGGTTTTATGTTTATGCGGCACGATGCAACTCACCGCGTAAGAAGACAGTATAAGTCATTATAATCCGTAATTATGTCCCCACTGGATGCAACAAAAGCCTCGTTTATAATGGGTTTTATTGGTTTTGTCTCGTCGCTCCACCACAGTATGGTAAGGGGCGTAACATTTCCGTCACACGCTTGAGGAATTCAGCCAATCAGAGCGAAGACAGTGTTCTCCTCTTTGTGGTGGCCAGGACAGTCACGGAGATCATCCGTTACTCTTTCTACACCTTCAGCCTGCTCAATCATCTGCCTTACCTCATCAAATGGGCAAGGTACACGTTTTTTATCTTTTCAGACCGATGAGCTTTGTAAAAATCGACGCGTTTCAGAAAGGCGGGGCAGTGACCCCTTTAAACGGCTGATTCATTCAAAACGAGGCAAGTGACTACTGTCTTTATGAATGGGTTACTGAATCATTGACTCACTTGATTCTTTCAAAAACGTGGATTCATTCAGGATTGAAACACCACTGTGTTGCTCAGAGACACAAAACAGTCCTGCTGTGGCTTTGATTGAAACTTCGTCAGCGAACTTGAGCAAAAACAGTCAATATTGTATTATAAATTGTGAACTTTGTGTCTGTTTAACTCACAATGAAGAACTTCCACGCCGACGACATGTTTACATGCGGATGTGAGCGTAAGTTTGCCGTCAAAACGGAGCGGCTGTGAGATGAGGTGTGTTGGATTAGAAGCAGCGGAGCGCAGACCAATCGCACATCAAACTACCACGAGAGTGATTCAAAAGCATGCGGAGCCATCTGCTCTCTGTAGCTCTCGCGGTGCTTTGATGTCATACAGCGATCGGTCTGCGCATTGCTGCTTCAAGTCAAACTGAGAAAGAAACTTTGGTCGAACACATTTCCTGTCTATGAGCTTGCACTCTCTCTCTCTCTCTGCCCAGACCCGCCCCCCCCCTCCCAAATTTTAGACGGATTTAGACTATTCACATAAATGACATTTTGTTTCAAAACGGCGAATTTCGCCGAAAAGTGACTAGTTTGCAAGTATGATGTTCGTCAACGAGGTTTTTTCCCCTGACGAAAACGAGACGATAATAAAGTCATTAAATGATAACGGAGACTAAATGAACATGCAATATCGTTGACGAAAAAAGACGAGACTAAAATGTAGTTAAAAGAACAAAAACTTGTCTGCTTCACTCACAATGAAGAACTTCGACGCTGTCGACATGTTTACATGCGGATGCGAGCGTAAGTGTGCCGTCAAAATGGACCGGCTGTGAGATGAAGTGTGTTTGATTTGAAGCAGCAGCGTACAGACCGATCGGACATCAAAAGTACCGTGAGAGTGATTCGAAAGCATGCGGAGCCATCAGCTCTCTGTAGCTATGTTTCCATCACCCTGTTTTAATGCGCATTTCGAATAAAAATCCCTTAAATTCACAAAAAAAAATTTACGCTCACTTGAGGTGGTTTTTGACTTGTGCGAAAAAGGGTTAATGCAAATAATGGGAGATGGAAATGCATTTT